CCAGCGAAATATAGTAGGGAAAATGAAAACATGGAGAGAATGACCTCTGACCCCTAAGGAGACCACCAAAACACAACAATAACGGATTTGTTTTAGAGCTCTAACAAGCAGCTAAAACAAGACTAAAAGCCAGTTTTTTCAACAAAACAGAAAGAGAAATTACTCTCCAGCTGGAAAATGCCACCATTTATAAACACATACCAAAAAAAAAGGATGTTTTCAGTTGGTTTGGATGCGGTTATCAAATAGTGACCTTTGCCCTTGGTGCTGAAAACCATCCACACACGGGAAAGCAAATCCTTATACACTTCTCCCGGTACAAAATAAATCAAAACATTAACAAAAGCTCCACGAAAGGGATGAATACCAGATATTCGAAGACATTTACGGCTGATTAGTTACAAAACTTAAGTGCATGGATCAAACGCGGCCTCTAGCAGTCCAATGCAGGACTACACCATGATGCTGGCTGAGCCGCTCCTATTACTGCAGTGATTGTCTACGGCCGCGTAGGGGCGCTTTTGATCCATGGCGATTTTAACAAGCGTACAGGTGCAAAAAAAATTCCTTCATTATGAAATTTACGTGGTCATCAAGGTTGTACAAATGACTTAACAGACTAGCCTCCTTCGCAGACTTGTAGGGCGGCGGCGTTATTTTTTTCGGTGAGCCTCGCGAGTTATACCGTACCGCAGAGGGACGGTTTTGCCGCCGAGGGAGTTTTGCCGGGGAGAAACCGTTCTCTCCTCGGCAAAACTCCCTTGGCGGCGAAACCATCCTTCTGTTGTGATAAAGGGACGTCCCTCTGTTGTGATAAACAACTAATTCGAATGCTTAATGATGATTAACTTGATGACACACACACACAAACCAACTTGAATTTGTGAAGTTCACTCTTTTTATTAAAAAAGAACTTTCCCGTGAAGTACGGCTTCGCTGCTCTGATTAGATCTAGGGTGTTTTTTAAACCCTATTAGAGGCACGCGCCAACTTTAATGTCCTGAACGCGGCTTGCGCTAGAATCATAAAATTTTGTGACTATAGGTATTCCTAAAATATACCTGACAAAAAGTTCATATTAATTAGACAAGTTAATGAATTTTTGTGTTGCCACGGCAACGGGTTTCTGACAGGCAGTTTTTAGAAAATTCTTTAATTTTGGTTTAACATTAAAATTTTCAGGTTTTTATGTTTAACATCACTTCATTTCTAACATTAATAACATCTGATATAATTGTACGTAATCTCTATCATTAAATATTCATAATTCATACTAATTTGATGACGTCATTGATTAAAATCCAAGATGGCAGACCATATCATTGTAACTGGTGTAACCACATTTTTTCACAAAACTTTCATCATAACTACGTATTTTTTCACATAAAACGTCCGTATGCACATCTTTTGTCCATTTGCATTGTGTCTTTATATAGGCTGTATCCAAGATTGACGATCCAAGCAGAGGTTAGTAGGGAAGATTGTTACCTTCTTATATATATCAACGGGGCATATATAAAAAAAAAAAGTAACGATCTTCCCCACCAACCTCTGCTTGCATTGTACTCTGCTTTGAGGTTATAACCTATGCTCCGATGTGTTTTAGGCATTTTTATGATCATTCATAGAGCTTTGTCTTTTAAGCCAGCCAACTGCCTGGCCAGTTTGGTACTGTCCGCGTGCGGCCACCGAGAGCTCTGCTTGGAGATTAGTCAATTTGCTGTCCGTACAGGCCAACGGTGACGGTTCCTTTTCGGTTGTCGTCTGTCGCACCGTAAGTTGCCTCGGTGCCACTACGGGGGTGTTCAAATGTGAGAGATCTGCGGTTCGGAGCCGTACATTGTCGGCACAGTGGTGTGTCTGCCCCCGGTGCTATGTGCTCAGTGTGCGCAGTTTGCTGCCGGTACAAATCAGTGGTGATGGTGTGTGCTTGGTTGGCGTCTGTCGCACCGTAAGTTGCCTGGGTGCCACTACGGGCGTGCTCACTTGTGAGAGATCTACGGTTCGGAGCCGTACATTGTCGGCGCAGTGGTGTGTTTGCCTCCGCTGCTATGTGCTCAGTGTGCGCAGTTTGCTGCCGGTGCAGATCAGTGGTGATGGTGTGTGCTTGGTTGGCGTCTGTCGCACTGTACGTTGCCTCAGCCAAATCAGCGCTACTTGTGTGCTCATTTGCGAGAACACTAGTGCTAGGATTCGGTGCCGTGCCTTCTCGCTGATCATGATACAGTGCATTTGCCGCGGCTACACCATAAGGCATGTCCAGATCTTCCCCGATCTGAAAAGCAGGTTGCTCAGGTACTCCTTCTGGCACGCCTGTATTTACAGCGTCAGCTGCAGTTTCCCCATCGCCCGGCAGAGGGGGCGGTGCTGCTGAGGCGTATTCGTCAGCGTCAGTATTTTCGTAGTGATGAACCTGAGCTTCTATAGTACCGATCGTGTCCGCCGGGGACGCTCCTGCCACGCGGTGGAGTTGCACGGCTCCCAAGTTCATCCCAGCCCAATCAGTTCCTCTCAGTTCTGTCAGCCTGGGCAGGGGGTGAAGAGGGATACAGACGGCCATGGATTGTGCCCCCGCGGCGCGCAACGTTGCACCGACAGTGCCGCCGTTCTCTCCTCTCCTTCCTCGTTTTCTCCAACGAAATAACGCGGCAGGAAAGAGCATCATGAGTGTGGCAAAAATTACAGAAACAATGCCGAGGATGAGTGTGGGGACGGGCTTTGCTAGAGTGGAGTCTGTGTTGGTGCTTCCAGCATCACAGAACTCCGGGTGAAACGACGGTAAACCTGACCCGTTGAAACAGCAGGATTGGTTCGTAGAACCCACACAGATGTCGGCTGTGCCGTTTTTACGGTCCTGTGGTGAAAAATCCGCGGGTGGGGACGTTGTTGTTTTCTCAGGTTCCTGCCCGTCCTCGGCCGGCCGGTGGAGGCACAGCAGCAGGTCGACTTGGCCGGACATGGCGGTGCCCGGGACGTCGCGCACATACCTGTACAGCCCCGCGTCGTCTGCGGTGAAGTTTTGAACCGTGAGCGCTTTGCCATGGGCCCGGTGGCGGCCTGTTGGGGTGATCCAGGCCGTTGGATAACCCGCATACTTGCCCGTGGGAACCTCGGGGAGACGAACGTCATGATGCTCGTTGACGAGAAAGGTGTTGGGAGCGACGCCGAAGTGCTCGTGCCGACTTTTGATGAAGAAAAACTTCCCTGCAAACCTGCGGCTGCCTTCGGTTTCGATGACGTAACTCCACATCACGGGCCACCTGGGCATGTTGTCGACGTAGAACATGTCATCGCGGCTGGAGTTCAGAGTCTCATCCGGACAGTGCAGAGGGTTGCCGTGGAACTGGTACGAAGCGGACGGGTGGAGGGAGGTGATGTCCCCGGGAATCCGGCTGATGTTGTTCAGCATGAGCAGAACTAACAAGAGCCGCTCACTGGGAACCAGGCGGACGGCCTGCGCGGGGACTACCGACAGTCGGTTCCCGGAAAGTTCCAGGAACTCCAGACTTGTCAGCCCGTGGAAGGCCCGCGCCGAGACGGCAGAAATGAGGTTGTTGGAGAGAATGAGATCCGAGAGCGTGGCGAGGGCCGAGAAGGTGGAGTCGCGGAGGGAAACGATGAAGTTTCTATCCAGATCCAGGACGAGTAGTTTCCGCAGAGGATGGAAGGTTTGCGGGGATAAGTTGTTCACCCTGTTGTCGTCGATAAACAGGTACCGGATGTACGGGGCTGAGGTAAAGCCGGAGCCGAGGCGGGATATCCTGTTGTGAGACAGTCGGACGGTGTGAGCGTCTGACGGGATGGCGTCTGTCGGGACCTGCGTCAAGTTGCGCCCGGTGTGATAGTGTACGGTATTCCCGTCAGCAGTGTACAGCAACGTCAGCACGAGAAGGGACGTCAGGGAGTCCATCTTGTGCCGTGTCGGGATACTGGACGGACAAAGGATCCCTATAACCATAAAGGAGAAACGAAATAGATGTCGAATATGTTTGCCGATAAGGTTTCATGCATGATTAGAGTACGCTTAGCTTGACAGCTAGACCACCGTAGGCTCCCCGGTATCTCTACGGCGCTCGGAGTAGTGCCTGCCCGCCCATGTCCATTAGCGCACGCCGTTTGTTTTTACGGGGTCGGTTTCAATTCGCCTAGTGCTAGAAAGGCCGGCAAGAATGATCTAGCATGTCAGAAGAGGTACTATGCCGGTAAAACACCTCTAAGCAGGGAAAGGTACGTAGCCTAATATCCAGTCTGTTCAGAATTTGCGTCATCTTACTATTTAGTTTACTCCACCACCAAGTTACGGTGAAAATATTTTTGATTCGTTTTTTTTTTTTTTTCAGTAATGGCACAGAATGTCAAACTCATCTAAAAGCTATTTTACATACCGATTCTGCAGGATTGGACTGAAAGGACACTCTCTCTCTCTCCCTCTCAGATACTACTGTTGTGCCGTGCCGTCTTGTCTGATAAACGATAGCCGTTTTTGTCAATATATAGACATTATAATGTCCTTGATAATTGGATACATTATGATATTTTCGGACAGCAAGCACGCGTCCGCGATAGTGATTGGTAAAAAAATATGTTATTTTGTCCCAGTTCCTAGTAAATTGTCTGTTCTAAAATTGTAAATAGAACAAGGACTTTTTTTATGAAAGGTAACAGGACATGCGCACGTGTCCTAGCTGTTCTGCCGCCAATAACAACACGTGTTTTGAGAGAAATCTTGATTTTAAAAATCATCAGAAACATCGTTTTTTGTTCTATGTTTCTGTTCTATGCTTCATGTTTCTGATGTGAGAAACTAAGCTTCTTTTTTTTTATTACTCGAAAAAAATGTACTGGAAAGTTGGGTTGGCGTTCCAGTGCAAAAAAGAAATCCGGATAAAAAGCTTAAAAACACGACTAAATTAAGCCAAAAACACTAGAGTAACAAAACACACCTATAAGCCGGGAAAGGTAGTCAGGTATCCAGTCCCTTCAGAACCTGCTTCATCTTACGATTTAGTAACTCCACCAAGTTACAGTGTAAATATTTTTTGTATATCTCCTGAATGGCACAGAATGCCAAATTCATTTACAAGTTATTTTACCTACCGATTCTACAGGATTTGGCTGAATGGACACATTCTCTCTCTCCCTCTCAGCCTAGCCACTGTTGTGCGGTCTGACAGAAAATAGCAGTTTTTGTCAATATATAGACATTATATTTCCGGACAGCAAGCGCGCGTCCGCGATAGTGATTGGTGAAAACAGATCGACCTGTGTTATTTTGTCCAAGGACGTTCAACAACATAGACAGAACGTCCTTGTTTTGTCCCAGTTCCTAGTAAATTGTCTGTTATCAAATTGTAAATACAACAAGGACTTTTTTAATGAAAAAATAACTAGACCAAATGGACATGCGCGCGTGTCCTAACTGTTCTGCCGCCAATAACAACACGTGTTTTGAAAGAAACCTTGATTTTAACAATCATCTATCAGAAACATCGTTTTTGTTTTATGCTTCATGTTTCTGATGTGAGAAACTAAGCTTCTATTTTCTTATTACTCGTAGACTCGAGGGCGGAACTAACGAAGAAACGAAAGGGCTACTATAGCTAGATATAGGGTTGTGTATATATACCCGGTAATACCGTGATGATAAGGCCATGTTGATTTGATTATATGGATGACATCCGAGCCCGCATGAATTTTCGTTCGTTTCAAAAAAAGTTTTCGACCATGAGCAAAATGAGGAAAATGAGCAAATATATGTCGCATATTACAGGAAAAAAGTATTGCAAAACGATACCAATGTCATAGAATGCCGAAATCAATTCAGGAAAAGAAGAAAATGTGAAGAAATGAAAATGAAGAGTCTATCATTATTCCCCATACTATACTCTGTTTAACCTCTACGACCAAGTAGATTTCATAATGAAGGAGACTTTTTTATTTGCACGCTCGCGTCAGTTTTGGGGTTCCCAGAGGACGTCATCCATATACTCAACTCAACATGGCCCAACCGCCCTCCCACTTCTGCTCTAAAACAGTTATTCAGTCATTACTACTAGCACACCTCGACTCCTGCTCCGAAATTCTCTCTTCAGCAACACAAACACAACTCGACAGACTACAGACAATCCAAAACCGAGCTGCTATATATAAAGGCTAGCTGCACAACATGTTCACATGAATCTAATACATGCAAAACTGAACTGGCCATCGGTGAAAGGATGTATGAAACTACAATATGCGCTTTTCACAAGTTAGCAACCACCAAAAAAAAACGAGTATATATATGGCAACCTAAGAACCGTAAATAATGCACATCGCCACAACACAGACTTTCTCAGAGAGGAGGCTATGTCCTCGCAGAGAGGACGGCAGCAAGCACGCGTCCGCGATAGTGATTGGTCAAAAAAGATCGTCCGACGTTATTTTGTCCCAGTTCCTAGTAAATTGTCTGTTATCAAATTGTAAATAGAGCAAGGATTTTTTAATGAAACGTAAGTCGACCGAATGGACATGCGCGCGTGTCCTAGCTGTTCTACCGCCAATAACAACACGTGTTTTGAAAGAAACCTTGATTTTAACAATCATCAGAAACATCGTTTTTGTTTTATGCTTCATGTTTCTGATGTGAGAAACTAAGCTTCTTTTTTCATTACGCAAAAAAATGTACTAGAATCTTTTTTACACGTTGGGTTGGCGTTCCAATGCAAAAAAGAAAGCCCGATAAAAAAGCCTCAAAACACGCCCAAATTATCTCCTGAATGGCACAGAATGTCAAACTCATCTACAAGTTACTTTACCTACCGATTCTACAGGATTTGGCTGAATGGACACTCTCCCTCCCTCTCAGCCTGACCACTGTTGTGTGGTCTGACAGAAAATAGCCGTTTTTGTCAATATATAGACATTATATTTCCGGACAGCAAGCACGCGTCCGCGATAGTGATTGGTGAAAACAGATCGTCCTGTGTTATTTTGTCCAATTGCGTTCAACAAGTTAGACAGAACGTCCTTGTTTTGTCCCAGTTCCTAGTAAATTGTCTGTTATCAAATTGTAAATACAACAAGGACTTTTTTAATGAAAAAACTAGAGGTCGGAGATCTCATGTCTTCGTCAGAGGTACATTGTTCTAGAGAAATTAACATGCGTATTCTTCACTCTTTTTAATAATCAATTTGGTCTAAAGAACAAAAGAATCTCTGTACTATTTTTATGGTAGAGAACACCCTGAAACGGTTTGCCGCAGATTATACAGATGCGTCGTCACCCGTGTTAGCCCCCCCCCCCCCCTACGTTATTTGAGTTTGGACTGTTACTGAAAAAAAACGTTCAAGAAATTCTTACTGTGTTGAAAGTGTCACGACAGTGCCGCAAAATATAATAAGAGAAGATGTTATAAAGGAAAGAATTAGAACAGGGTGACTACTGCTGTTTTGTTAATTTGTCTTTATGACAAATAGAAGACTTGTTTCTTGTGTTCTTTGTGTCCTAACATTTGTACTTCTACAGTTAGTATATTCCAAACCTAGGCATCTCGTTTTTCGGCCCTTCGTGTTTTTATTGCGCGCTTGCCTTAAATTTAAGGTAATTAGATTTAAGGTCTCCAGTGGACGTCATCCATAGCAATTACTTGGTGTGGCCGTAGAAAATAACCTGACATATGTCCAACCTATCCTCCCCCTGCTGAAGTTATAGTACAATCCCTCAATGTAACGTCATTTGATCCCATCCATTATGGGGTTCCCCGGCTATATCCAGCTGTCGGCTGTCTCCAAGCAGATGTAGGTGGGGGATTTCTAAACACAAAAGGTCCTATTACGGGGACATAACGACCTCCACGACTCTCATCTTTGAACTCAATCTTGGAGACCACGACAGTAACATGCCTATCAAATTTCATTAACTTCCATCCACACATACAAAAGTTATCCTGCTCGCAAGAAAAATTAACAAAATGCCCCCTGTAGTCACAACGAAACCCCCCACGAAGCTCAGTAACGAACTTAACCTTGGTTCCGACAATAGTAAGCACCACACCAAGAATTATAATCAACATTTTACAAATACTTGAGTTATCTTGCTAACAAGCCACAAACACAAAAGGTGCACTAACGTGACGCACGGACCCCCCACGAAGCCGAAACTTGTACTTGAGTTTGGCCTCAACAGCGGTAATCTGCCTGCCAAAAATCATGGACGTCGAATCATGCCTTCCAGAGTTATATCGCAAAATCCGCAGTTCCCCACACTCCGGTGAGACAATTTCATAGTCCTTCTGACAAAGACAATAACTAGACCAAATGGACATGCGCACGTGTCCTAACTGTTCTATCGCAA